TATATATATATATATATATATATATATATATATATATATATATGTCGTACCTAGTAGCCAGAACTCACTTCTCAGCCTACTATTCAAGGCCCGATTTGCCTAATAAGCCAAGTTTTCCTGAATTAATATATTTACTATAATTTTTTCTTATGAAATGATAAAGCAACCCTTTTCTCTATGTATGAGGTAAATTTTTATTTATTGGAGTTAAAATTAACGTAGATATATGACCGAACCTAACCAACCCTACCTAACCTAACCTAACCTATATTTATAGGTAAGGTTAGGTTAGGTAGCCAAAAAAAGCTAGGTTAGGTTAGGTTAGGTAGGTTAGGTAGACGAAAAAACATTAATTCATGAAAACTTGGCTTATTAGGCAAATCGGGCCTTGAATAGTAGGCTGAGAAGTGCGTTCTGGCTATTAGGTACGACATATATATATATATATATATATATATATATATATATATATATATATATATATATATATATATATGTTGTACCTAGTAGCCAGAACGTCGTACTCGGCCTACTATGCAAGGCCCGATTTGCCTAATAAGCCAAGTTTTCCTGAATCTATATTTTTTTCTCTATTTTTTTCTTATGAAATGATAAATCTGGCCATTTCATTATGTATAAGTTAATTTTGTTAAATTTGAGTTAAAACTAACGTAGATATATAAGACCGAACCTAACCAACATTACCTAACCTAACCTAACCTATCTTAACCTAACCTATACTAACATAACTAAATCAATAATTTATGTTCTTAATATAATATAATAATATTATTTAAAATAAACCAATAGGAAACAATTTATTGAAAATAAAGAAAATCACTCGGCCTATTAGGCAAATCGGGCCTTGCATAGTAGGCCGAGAAGTGCGTTCTGGCTACTAGGTACGACATATATATATATATATATATATATATATATATATATATATATATATATATATATATATATATGAAAACTAGTGATCGAACCCATACTCCCAGAAGCAACGCAATATGTACAAGACGCCTTAATCCACTTGACCATCACGACCGGACAAAATGAGGTGATAGCCGAGGCTATGAACCACCCCACCGCCGGCACTCGGATAGTAATCTTGGGCATAGCATTTTACCAAATCACCTCATTCTTTGGGGCACACGTGAGGAACACAAATGCGAACAAGCCTGAATGGTCCCCAGGACAATATGCAACTGAAAACTCACACCCCAGAAGTGACTGGGGTGTGACCATCACGAATTTCAGAGAAGGTCGTGAGGTCAAGTGGATTAAGGCGTCTTGTACATACCAGTTGCGTTGCTTCTGGGAGTATGGGTTCGAGTCACTTCTGGGGTGTGAGTTTTCAGTTGCATATTGTCCTGGGGACCATTCAGGCTTGTTCGCATATATATATATATATATATATATATATATATATATATATATATATATATATATATATATATATATATATATATATATATATATATATATATATATATATATATATATATATATATATATATATATATATATATATATATATATATATATATATATGTCGTACCTAGTAGCCAGAACGCACTTCTCAGCCTACTATGCAAGGCCCGATTTGCCCAATAAGCCAATTTTTCATGAATTAATGCTTTTTCGACTACCTATCCTAACCTAACCTAACTTTTTCGGCTACCTAACCTAACCTAACCTATAAAGATTGGTTAGGTTAGGTTAGGTAGGGTTGGTTAGGTTCGGTCATATATCTACGTTAATTTTAACTCCAATAAAAAAAATTGACCTCATACATACTGAAACGGGTAGCTTTATCATTTCACAAGAAAAAAATTAGAACAAATATATTAATTTATGAAAACTTGGCTTATTAGTCAAATCGGGCCTTGCATAGTAGGCTGAGAAGTGCGTTCTGGCTACTATGTACGACATATATATATATATATATATATATATATATATATATATATATATATATATATATATATATATATATATATATATATATATATATATATATATATATATATATATATATATATGAATATATATATATATAATTATTGCTAACAATACAGGTCAAGGGGCTGTGGTTGGTGAATAATTCAACAGTATTGGCTGATACATAAATGTCAAATTTTTAACAGCTTGTAATAAAGACAATGCCTCTTTCTCTACTGTTGACATTCTGTAAACTTTTTAAAATAGTAAAGTACTGGATTATTAATATCCTCATCATCCTCTTGCAATTGTATAGAACTAGCACCCCCAGTCTGAAGCATCTATATATATATTTAGTTTATTTATTTATTTATTTATTCAGCTAGTGAATTCAGAGGCCTTCAACAATGCCTCTTTCTCTACTGTTGAATTCTTATGTTATCATTCTGTTCTTATATTCTTGTAAAGCCACTAGCACGCATAGCGTTTCGGGCAGGTCCTTAATCCTAATTTTCCCCAGAATACAACCTGCCAAATCGTTTAACAGCCAGGTACCCAATCACTGCTGGGCAAAGAGAGGCTATAGTTAAGGATTGGCGTTCAATCAATCCTCCCCGGCCAGGATACGAACCCAGGCCAAAGCGCTCGCGAAGCGCCGGGCGAGTGTCTTACCACTGCGCCACAGAGACTATAGTTTGAATATAGTTTGAATGGCTTAGAGTAGTCAGGAGTAGCTAACACTGAACCAGATGACAACATTCCTTATAATTTAGTAAATACATCCTGACATTCCCGTGACCATATAAACTTCATATTTTTACATAGCAAGTTTGTCAAAGGTGCTGCAATTGCAGCAAATCTTTTACAGAACTTGCTATAATATACACACATTCCTAGATATTTTTGCACCTCCGTCTTGCTAGTCAACACTGAGTACTTTATTATATCATTTATTTTATTCTTGAGTGGTAACACCTTCCCGTTTCCAACTTCATATCCAAGACAACAAATACTAGCTTTAGCAAAGGTACACTTGTGCAAGTTTACAGTTAAATTAGCCTCCTTAAAGCATTTCAATACTTTAGCTAAACCTTTCTTATGGTCCTCCTAATTATTTTTATAAATTACATTATCATCCAAGTATCATTAGAGAATGAATTAAGGGATATACCTATTACTTGCGACACAATCAGGAAGAACATGACAAACTAAAAGATTCAAAAGCCTCAGGTGTGGATGGATTTCAATCCAAAGTCGTAAAGGAATTGGCAAATGCACTATGCATACTGCTGAAACTCCTTTTCAGAAGACCTCTGAACCAATGGATAGTTCCCATGGATTGGAAATATGCAAATGTTACCCATATGTTCAAAAAAGGCAAAATGAGCTCGGCATAAAACTACCTGCCGATCAGCTTGACATCACACATCTGCATGCTCATGGAGAGTATCCTAAGGGAAGGAATCATACAACATCTCACAGAGAACAATCTTGTAAAATCAACGCAACATGGGGTTGTTAAAAATAAATCCTGCCTCACATTTCTGGAAACGGCTATTCAGACAAAGGACTTCCGGTAGATGTAGCATACACGGACTTTGCTAAAGCTGTTGACAAGGTACCACATGAGAGACTGGCAAGGAAATTAAAGGCGCATGGAATAAATGGGAGAATACTGGAATTGATAAAACAATGGTTAAAACATAGAAAACAAAGGGTCATGCTAAACGGGATGGAATCTGACTGGGGAAATGTGCAAAGTGGGATGCCACTGGGGTTCATTTTCGGGCCAACCCTGTTTCTCTATCAGTGACATTGATGAGAATATTACAAACCACATCATCAAATTTGCAGACGACACTAAGATCTATGGTAAAGTGGGAAGTGAGAGTGATATTGAAACCTTACAAAGAGATCTACTTGAACTTTACAAATGGTCAGATGACTGGCAAATGCTTTTCAATGTCGATAAATGCAAAACCTTACATGTGGGGCATAACAATCCACGTCACAACTACCAAACTGACAGCACTATCTTACAACAGATTGATGAAGAGATGGACCTTGGAATCAGAATCCATCATTCAATAAAAGTTGCACAACAAGTGGGAGCCGCAGTAAAACAAGCGAACCGAACCCTAGGAATTATCAAGTGAACCTTTACCTTCAAGGAAAAGACAGTAGTTCTTCAATTGTATAAGTCTCTGGTGCATCCCCCCCCCTGGATTATTGCATTCAGGCATGGAGACCGCATCTTCAGAAAGACATAGCTCCTCTGGAAAAGGTGCAACACCGAGGAACAAAAATCATACCAGAGCTTAGTCATCTCTTATATCAAGAACAGTTGAGGGCCACAGGGTTAACAACACTGCAAATATTAATATTTTCCCCCTTTGTTTATAATATGATTTTGTTGCAACTTCTACATCCTGAGGAGTGCATACTGGGAACGAACTATGTGAAGACAAAATGAAATTGGGCAACAAATAAATCAGCCACACTTGTCAGAACTTGCGACATTGAATTTTTTGGGGCTGATTTTTTCACAGATTTCAAACTATTTGTTTTTTGTCTCTTTAGGTTGTTTTGATAATTAGGGACCAGATTAGGGCTTTATCACTTATATAAAGTATACATATAGATCTCCATAATCATTATAATCATTCCTATATTTTGTTTGTTAGGCTTTGGGAAGATGAGGAAGATTTTTTCTCGACTTCATTTCAACACATATTGACCTTCAACTTTCACATATTCGAGTACAAAATGCCAAGAAATGTTTATTTAATCATACAAGAACATTCATAAATTATAACTACCATATTCGTTGTCGATAACTTCAACTTCAATTATCTCTAAAACTAGAGTATCTAATTTAAGGCAGCATCAAAAATCCAGTTTTGGACCGATTATCACCAACTTTACATATTATGTGCACAGTAGTCTGTTCTACAGTATTTATTTTTTGTTTTTTCCATATACGCCAGACCTGGGTATGGGCTGCATAATAAATGACTAAACTAACTCATCAGAACACATGAATCAAAACATACCTGATGAAGACATGAAAGAGGTTCCTTGGCGACGTTACAGGCAGCAGTGTAGTAGCGAGGTTGACCTGTCAGTCTACACCCCACTCTTGCCAACACCAAAGCCATCAAACACAACTTACACAAAACACCCATTATTTTTTTTAACGAGAATTGTATGTAGACCGTGTACTGTTGGCTACATGTTGTAAATAAAGCTACTTTTGTTTAATGTTGTAAATGTTCAAGGGACGGAGAGCTACAGCCTATCCTACCCGTGGGTGTTAGGACACTGGCACCTCACAGCGTGTGGCGTTGGCAGGAGTCTAGCGTCCAGCTCACTATCATAAATATGCCATCAACTCAACTGATGAAAGACTAAGTTTATTTAATTAATGATCACCTTATGAAAAATATGTCCAATAGTATATAATATAATAATTTATGTACGTGCCTTATTTGATAAAACAAGGCTGCCATGAACGTTGATTTACAATATAAATATTGAATATAAGATCCACGAATACCATAATAAAAAGAACGATACGAATGAAATTATTGTTCACCACATGGCCACCATCACTCCGTGTCTGCGACTCCATACCATTGACATAATTTTCCGACTATCACGAAAGTTAAAATTATTAACAACACATTTGATACTTTCTTTTGTAAAATTTCAACGCTGCACTGCCATGATAGGGTGTATTGTGGGTCCCGGTAGCACAGTCGGGTTCGTTCGCGACTCACAATCTAGAATTCCCGGGATCGAATCCAAGGCGGGACAGAAATGGTTGGGCGCGTTTCCTACCACCTAATGCTCCTGTTCACCTTGTAGTAAATAGGTACCCAGGAGTTAGTCAGCTTGTTGTAGGGCTGCGTCAGAAATTCGACCATGGGTAACGAGGGGACGTCGATAGAATTCTGCATGGATGTATTATATAAATAAACTATTGACAATGAATTATACAAATTATAAATCTGGGCATAGAGAGCAACACAACACTCCACCATAGCCTCTGTTAGATAAACACTTTTAGGTTGAAAACATGATTCCTTAAAAACAAATTTCTCATGAAATTACCGTAATATAAATATGTATTCAAACACATACACATAAAATTAAATACGCAGAAAGTTGCCGGAAAACGCGACACAGGATGTCGAGAGATTGTTGCCACCAGCACTGGCTGGTTGATTGTGCACCCCATACTCACCCTGCGAGCAGTAGTTTATTGTTCACCCCATACTCACCCTGCGAGCAGTAGTTTATTGTTCACCCCATACTCACCCTGCGAGGGGTAGTTTATTGTTCACCCCATACTCACCCTGCGAGCAGTAGTTTATTGTTCACCCCATACTCACCCTGCGAGGGGTAGTTTATTGTTCACCCCATACTCACCCTGCGAGCAGTAGTTTATTGTTCACCCCATACTCACCCTGCGAGGGGTAGTTTATTGTTCACCCCATACTCACCCTGCGAGCAGTAGTTTATTGTTCACCCCATACTCACCCTGCGAGGGGTAGTTTATTGTTCACCCCATACTCACCCTGCGAGCAGTAGTTTTTTGTTCACCCCATACTCACCCTGCGAGCGGTAGTTTATTGTTCACCCCATACTCACCCTGCGAGCGGTAGTTTATTGTTCACCCCATACTCACCCTGCGAGCGGTAGTTTATTGTTCACCCCATACTCACCCTGCGAGCGGTAGTTTATTGTTCACCCCATACTCACCCTGCGAGCGGTAGTTTATTGTTCACCCCATACTCACCCTGCGAGCGGTAGTTTATTGTTTACCCCATACTCACCCTGCGAGCGGTAGTTTATTGTTCACCCCATACTCACCCTGCGAGCGGTAGTTTATTGTTCACCTCATACTCACCCTGCGAGCGGTAGTTTATTGTTCACCCCATACTCACCCTGCGAGCGGTAGTTTATTGTTCACCCCATACTCACCCTGCGAGCGGTAGTTTATTGTTCACCCCATACTCACCCTGCGAGCGGTAGTTTATTGTTCACCCCATACTCACCCTGCGAGCGGTAGTTTATTGTTCACCCCATACTCACCCTGCGAGCAGTAGTTTATTGTTCACCCCATACTCACCCTGCGAGCGGTAGTTTATTGTTCACCCCATACTCATCCTGCGAGCGGTAGTTTATTGTTCACCTCATACTCACCCTGCGAGCGGTAGTTTATTGTTCACCCCATACTCACCCTGCGAGCAGTAGTTTATTGTTCACCTCATACTCACCCTGCGAGCGGTAGTTTATTGTTCACCCCATACTCACCCTGCGAGCAGTAGTTTATTGTTCACCTCATACTCACCCTGCGAGCGGTAGTTTATTGTTCACCCCATACTCACCCTGCGAGCAGTAGTTTATTGTTCACCTCATACTCACCCTGCGAGCGGTAGTTTATTGTTCACCCCATACTCACCCTGCGAGCAGTAGTTTATTGTTCACCTCATACTCACCCTGCGAGCGGTAGTTTATTGTTCACCCCATACTCATCCTGTGAGCGGTAGTTTATTGTGCATCTCATACTCATCCAGTGAGTGGTAGTTTATTGTGCGCTTAATACTCATCCTGTGAGTGGTAGTTTATTGTGCACCCTATACTCATAGCGTCTGTACACAGTGTACCAGCGTCTGTACACTGTGTATCAGTGTCTGTACACTGTGTACCAGTGTTTATAAACTGTGTAACCGTGTCTGAACACCGTGCACTAGTGCCTGTACACTGAGTACCAGTGTCTGTACACCGAGTCTATACCAATGGCTGTACACCGTATACTAGTGTCTGTACATTGTGTACCAGTGTCTGTACACTGTGCATCAGTGTCTGTACACTGTGTGCCAGTGTCTGTAATCCATGTACCAGTGTCTGTTCTCCGTGTACCAGTGTCTGTACACTGTTCCAGTGTCTGTACACCGTGTACCAGTGTCTGTACACCGTGTACCAGTGTCTGTACACTGTGTACTAGTGTCTGTACACTGTGTGCCAGTGTCTGTACACCGTGTACCAGTGTCTGTACACCGTGTACAAGTGTCTGTACACTGTGTACTAGTGTCTGTACACTGTGTACCAGTGTCTGTACACCGTGTACCAGTGTCTGTAAACTGTGTACTAGCGTTTGTACGCCGTGTACTAGTGTCTGTACACTGTGTACTAGTGTCTGTACACTGTGTACCAGTGTTTGTACACCGTGTACCAGTGTCTGTTCACTCTTGTACCAGAGTCTGTACAGCGTGTACCAGTGTCTGTACACCGTGTACAAGTGTCTGCACGAAGTGTACCTCTGTCTTTAAACCCATGTACCAGTGTCTGTACACCGTGAACCAGTGTCTGTACACCGTGTTCTGTTGTCTGTACACTGTGTACCAGTGTCTGTACTCCGTGTACCAGTGTCTGTACAATTTATTTATTTTTTATATATTTATTTATATATATAGAAGAAGGTACATTGGGTTTGTGAGAATACATAGCATAGTATTTACAATCTTGTAAAGCCACTAGTACGCGCAGTGTTTCGGGCAGGTCCTTATTCTAACATAATTTTAAGTAGGTAAATTCTAGCAGAATTAATAAAATGATAACAGATACATTGCATGAAAAAAATGAGATGAGAGAGATTATTAAGTATATTAAATCACATTGGTATATTAAAGCACTGAATGATTACATTGACAGCTTGATTGGTAATTTAAACAAGATTAATATACACCATACAGCAGATTGATAGCACATATAAGAAGACAGCAATGATCACATGGTAAAGATGCTCGGATTGGGTTCATAAAGATTGGGAGATTGGGTAGCAATAGATACAGTGCAATTTTAAAGCAACAAGGTAAAAACTATGCAGATGAAATTAGGTACTTTTTAGTTTTGTTTTTGAATGATGCAAAAGTTGGACAGCTTTTCAATTCATTAGGGAGTGAGTTCCATAGACTGGGTCACTTTATTTGCATAGAGTGTTTACACAGATTAAGTTTGACTCTGGGGATAACAAAGATATATTTATTTCTGGTGTGGTGATAATGGGTCCTATTACATCTGTCCAGGGAGAGTTTCAGAGCAGGATTTGCATTTAAGAACAGGGTTTTGTAAATGTAGTTGTCACAAGAGAATTTGTGGAGTGAGATTATGTTTAGCATGTTTAGGGAGTTAAACAACTTGTATAAGTGTCTGTACACCTTGTACCTGTGTCTGTACACAGTGTACTAGTGTCTGTATACTGTATTCTAGTGTCTGTACTCTGTGTTACAGTGTCTGTACACAGTACCAGTGTCTGCACACTGTAACAGTGTCTGAACTCCGTGTACCAGTGTCTTTACACCGTGTTCCAGTGTCTGTGCACTGTATACCAGTGTCTGTATACCGTGTACCAGTGTCTTTACACTGTGTATTAGTGTCTGTACTGTACAGTGTGTACCAGTGTGTACACTGTGTACCAGTGTCTGTACACTGTGTACCAGTGTCTGTACACTGTGTACCAGTGTTTATACATTGTGAACCAGTGTCTGTACACTGTGTACCAGTGTCTGTAAACAATGTACCAGTGTCTGTACACCGTCTACTAGTGTCTCTAATCCGTGTACCTGTGTCTGTACTCCGTATACCAGTGTCTGTACACCGTGTATAAGTTTCTGTACACCGTGTACCAGTGTCTGTATACTGCATTCCAATGTCTGTACTCTGTGTTACAGTGTCTGCACACTGTACCATTGTCTGTACACAGTACTGTTAGGTAGCCTGAAGAACGAGTCTACCTGTCTGAGACTCTTTCTCTTACGTGTTTGAGGATTCCTATTCCTCTTATTCCTCCTACGGGACCTGATTGAGAGGTCAGTGGAAGTATAGATATATGAATATATGCTAAATACATGATAAATGTCAGTGAATAGTATAAAAGCATGAGCAGAGGATGAACATGTAACTAAGTGACCTTAAAGGGATGTCGATACTTTGCTGACATGATGTGAGGCTCGTGGGACTTCTTGACCTTACTTGAGCATCAGAAGTCGTGCGAGAAGGCTGTGCTATGTTAAGCTCCTGGCAGAGGAGGAATCCCTAACTGTGTGCTCCTTCAAGACTAGGGAACCAAACAGGCGTTGATGTGTGAAGCCTATGGTACGACTTAAAGTACTCAAATCAGGACTAGACGTTCTGACAAGTCCTCACAAGTCACTGCCTTGTGAGGCAGTGCTATAGTGATTTTGTGGGCGGCGTGTGTGGGCTCCATTGATGAGGACCAGGGGCCAGATTCACAAAGCAGTTACATACTTGTTTACGAACGTTTATCTTCTTAGCATCTTCGTAGTGG